AGGGGTCAGTATCGGAGTTGAGCAGGTGCATTATAATGGTACTCCTGTCCACAACAGAATGGGAACCCGGAAGCATCACGGGATCACTCATGAGAGTGTCCATCAGCGTGTCACAGAATTCTGCCGGTGCATCGCCGTAGTCCAGCTCCATCTGATTCTTTCGTTCATGCATCTCTAGGACCTACAGAGAGGGGCAGGGCAGAAGTACGACATGAAAGCTTCACAAATCAAAGCTGGATTTTCAGCAAATGCAGGATATGCCAAAGGCGCTAACTCAAAAAGAGTCGACAAAAAAGAAAGAAATTATAGAAAGAAGAAAAGACATCAGAAGCCCTCAGGGATAGAAAACTGTAGAATTACAGAGGGTAGGTAAATAATTTTTTAAGGCGGACGTACAACGGTTACAGCACCTGGTGCGCAGAAACAGTTGAAAATGATAATACTGAAAGAAAGTCAAGAAAAAATGAAAGGGTCATTTTAGGCTTTTTAGCCGTCAGGTTTTTTACTCCTGAGGCTCGGACCTTCAAGACGCCACTGACGCCTCGATCTGCCTAAACACAGACCTCAGTTCGGTGACTGCAGCCAGACATCACTTCGGATCCCACCCGACTAGGGAACGGACTGCACTCGTCCGAGTCGAATCACTTCCTACCTATTCTTCCAGTCCTCATGTACAGAATACATTGTTCCTATCACTCTGACCTTCCCATGACTTCCCTGCTCCTAAGAAACCGTGACTAGAAGATCGTAGCTACTAGGATTTAACTTAACCCTAACATAATTCGATAAGAGAACCCATGACGAACATTGACTCACGACAACTGGCCCGAGGAGACAGAGAGCAACACCTGCACACCTCGTGAAATTCTTTTTAGCTGTACAAGCTTATCCAACCCTACCAGTCTTTCCTGACTTTTGATTTAGGGAACCTTCGTGTTGCCGTTTACACTACCTCGGCAGGCGAATACTATTCAAACAAAAACATGTAGGGACACTGAAGGAAACAACGACAGCAACAAAAAATATCCCGTTAACAACACTGCTAAATGGCTAAACACAGCTGGTGGCTAAGGGCTTCAGTCAACATTTTTTCGGAAGCCAGAGTACAAGTGTAGGTGGAAGAGCAGAAGCAAAACCAAAGAACTCAGGTGCTCTGCTCGTCATTCTACACTTATAAATCTTAGCATGGGCGCTAACAGGGGCTGACCTTTTCAGTGAGGGCGGAGAAACTGGTCAAATAGTCAGGCGTCTGAATTCCATGACGGGTCATCAGACTGTGTGCCTTGGTGAAAAGTTGGGGAGAGTAGCTGCGCTCGTCCTCCGCAATGGACATGGCGAAGCGGTTGTCGGAGGTGTCCAGATGCACGTATATGGCCGTGATGTGGGCCAAAAGACGCTTAGGCGCCCAACCGTAGCTCTCAGGATCTCGCACCTTAAGGCTGAGAAGAAGAACAGAGGAAGAGTCTGATTTAGAAAACAGTGCAGCAGAAGGAAGACGGGGTGTGATCAGCAAAAGCAAAAAGAGACAAATAGAAAAAACCGGCTTACGCAAAAAACGGAAGCGGTCAATCTAAAAACGAGTAAGGCAGACTCAGACTTACGTCAATGAGAGGAGTACATTATTTATTTTACTATCTCAGAGAAGAAACGGGATTCCCTCTGTTACAGCTAGTTTTTTTCAGATTCGGTAAGAACGGTAGATATGAGATCCATAGCAGTTTACATGATAAAGTATTGGAACTGGATAAGGACTCGCAGTTCCTCAAATTTCCCCGTAAGGAGGGCCTTACAGGAGAGAAACCTTAACTTTATAAGCCTGGAGACTAATTTTATCACTAAGCAGACTGGAGAGGAGAAGTAAGAGTCAGAAAACGCCAAAGTACGCAGGAAATAGTTTTGCCGGCTTGATGGTAAATGACGCAAAATCAGCACCCGCACCCTCTAGGTCACATGTCTCTGCCGAACCTCTAGCTTTATGGCCTCGGAATGTGAGACTCGCATCACCAATCATACCGTCAGCTGGATTCCTTAAAGATATGACATGAGCATAGGCCTACCACAGCAGTTACTTATGCAGCTGGTGCTGGGGACCAACGGTAAACAAGAGAGCGTCAACACGTCTTCTCAGGTTTTTGCACCTATCCACAACAGTTTCTGAGTGAATTGTGCTGGTATCATTGACATTTCTGAGCAGCAGTCACGGGCCTCCCTTACCGAGTCCGGCAGTAAAGGCGACTGAGGTGACTTGGGCCTTTTTCGTTCACCTTATTAACTTTGTGCTACTGCCCTCGAACAAGTGCAATTGCCAACCTTGAGGTTTCGAAAAGGAGCTCAATGCAAACCGAAATCGATACTGTTGGGTTGAACTATCTAGACTAGTAGGCGGATTCGCCAGCGTTCAAACGCTTTTTCGGAAAGCGGTTCTTGGACCTTCGGTCTACGTTAATGGCGAAATGGGTAGAGTTGTCAAGATACGTAGTCACGGACCGTCACAAGTGGGGAGACTAAGTTCGTGACTTAATTGAGGCCGGCCAGATTAGACATGATCGCAGTCGTAGCAAGAACAGACAAGCAGTAGAGACAAATACTGTCTAGGGGGCCATGCATTTTATATTAGCCGTTTATTCCGCGGATACCATATCGCCATCGACTCTACCTTCCAGATTAGCATAGCTCTACCTACGCCTAGTGACCACAAACAAAATAGCTCCTTTGTCTCACAACCGTTAACCATTCGGACGCTTTGGCATTTAGCGAGCGCTCCGTCGCACTGAAATAGAGCCCTTGGCAAACTTTCGATGGGTTTTGATAAACACTGACATCTCCATTAACCTCCTAGGTACCATTTGCTGACGACTGACTTCGATCTCCAAGTGGTCCTGAAAAGTCCCTGACTCGTTAACGGTCTCACGGAAATTCGAACCAGCCTTTACTCGGAAGAAAATCCGGACCTCAATTTCGTTACCTGTATATGACTGTCCACATCATTTCCTCCAACCAAGCTACCCTTCATTCCGAGAAGCGGACATCAAACACAGTTCGCCAAAACATCTACATCGCGGGCATTTTCAAATCCTGAGGGTCGCGTCGTATTGCTCTGGATGGCTGGATGATTGCTAAGGGGGAGTTCAAGCGCACGCTCGAGGTCCGTATATGATAGCTCCACAGTTACTGGACACCATCCCTCCACTTTACAACGAGTGATGATCGTGCGGGGGCTATTGGACCTTGAGCTCAGTGGCGAACCCGATCAGTACTCTGGTTCAGCAAATTCCAGACTACTCCCAGTCACTGCAAGGAAATCCTGTGTCCTCAAACTGATCTGGTTAGAACCTATCACCAAAAAGAAATCGAAGCCAAAGAACCGACGTCACCACGCCTCTTAGGTTATTTTAGTTCAATCGCACAGCTTTTGGCCCGCGTGACGTCATTCAAACTCTCCAGCAGTTAACCGATGAAGTTCTAAGAGATCTAGGCTTCGTGTACCCTACATTGGCGATATATTGGTGCCGAGTTCTGTCAATTCCGAGTACTGGGCCAATCATTCGACAGCTGATCACACGGCTCGACTCCACCGACGTGAGCGTCGCTCGGTCACAGTTAGCTTACTCGCGTCATAAGCCGGCCATACTCTAACGGTTTATGTGATCCCGATTTGATCTCCAGCTCACCACCAGGTGACCACCCCCGAAGACGCTGAGCCGAAGTTCTGCGGCAGAACAGGATCATTGTACGTCGCGTCCTGCAGTCAGCAAGGAATATCAGTGAACGGCGTTCCAGTGTACTGAAGTTCGCTCGTTGTCCAGATGTCGGCAACATGATCATTTAGTTCTATTGAGGTCATTCACTTCGAGACGGATATAATGCTGAGCCGGGTCGCATTGTAGAACGGATCTGTAAAGGAAGTCCTAGCCCCTATCTACTTTGCGCTCTAGCTATTGAACTCGCTCCCACATGAGGCTGGTGAGCATGGAACACAGCTTCACGTCAAGTAATACAATTTGGCATAGTAACCTTCGATTCGCCCAGTTACAATGAAGTAACTCTGAAGAAGTCGAGAATACAGCAGTAGATTTTCCCCATGTTTGTGTAAGTCAAGTATTCTCCTCGGAAGGAACAGGGAAAAGGCACTTTCCTCATGAGTGTGCTCGAAGAAGTTGCGTCTTAAAAGCAGAGAATGCCAGGGTGATAGTGGTGGAAGGGGGGGGGTGGACAAACAGACATAAAGTTGACCCAGTAAGGAAGATATGGGACTACCTGCTGCACTGCGGGCCACACAACTGAACCAGATTGTAGTCCAGCATTGCGGCCAACTTGCCGATTATCTCTGGTCGCAAAAAGGGCTCTTTGATCTCCATAGTGAGGTGAAAGAGCAATTTAACGGTCTGGTTGGCCAGAGTCAGGTAGGATCGAACCTACAGAGGATTGGATAAAAAGAACATGAGCTAACCAAGGAAGAAAACACAATGGAGCAGTATCAGTAGATATTCAGAGTTTAAAAGAACGTGGCTATAAAATGTGGGAGAAGACAAGCATGCCGATAAAGACAACATTCGAATGATGATGGCGAATAGTCGACTGAGCCCAGAAGCCTCACAGGAAATAAACACACAAATCAATAAGAAGAGGTGTGTATGATGACGAGAATTCAATGGATTTCCAATAACAGTGCTTCAATTAGTACACTTGATCGTCCGACTTTTGGAAACTGACGCTCTTACATCATTCATTCTGACGGTGTAAGGGATCAGGCAAGGCCCGTTGGCCAGAATTTATTCTGCCAAAATTTGGTCAGAAGGAAGAAGACAGCGATATTGTGCGTGAATTTGCCAGCTGAAGAAGAACTCACCTGGTGCGTACTTTCGACCGCCCAACAAACTGTCGAATAAGACAATGAAAAGCACTGTCATGAAGTTGGGACTACAGCGAGGGCGACTTGTGCAGCATAAAAAAACACTCCGTTCCCATGCCCGTCAGGCCAAAATGACAAGACCCGGCATAAAGTCAAGGCCCGTAAGTTTCGCACATGCGCTAGTCATTCACTTCCCGCAAATCCGACACCAATGTACGTAACACGATTAGCATGTTCGGCCGTTCGCTTTCTTAAATTCGTTTAATAAGCAAGATCAATAATAATTTTTCGTTGGGTGCCACTCTTGTGGCTAAACGCAGAATATCGCAAAAGTCATGACTAAAAGCAATGTTTGGAATAAACAGAGAAGAAAGGGGGTGTGAGACAACACTGTTCGCATATTTCTTAATTGAAATTAACTTGGATAAAAGAACGAAAAAAGGGCAAGCTTTCTAGGGCTTACATAATTAAAAGAAGGTAAACAGGGAATAGATCTGCTAGAGTGGAGACTGAGGAATTTACGAAGTCAGCAGAAAGTAAAAGTATACATTG